GTATATCACATAAATTAGGATTGATTGACGTATTCAATTGTTTTTGGCCACTTCCTGTTTCACCGGAAATAACTACAACTTTTGATATTTAAATGACACCCTCGGTGTTTTTTTTTTTAATTTATTCGATAGAAAATGACATTCTGAATAGAATGACATATCATATGTCAACTTTTGACATTTTTGATTAAAACAAAATTGAATTTTAAATTTCAATCTAGAGTCCCATGGCTGTGTTAAAAACACTAATTTTTAATCAAGGAGCCTTGGAAAAATAGATTTAATCGTCTAATGTTAGTCGTGTCTTGTCCTAGCCGGTTAAAAGATGCCCAAATCGTAATTTTAATCATATATCAATTTTTTCAAATGGAACGAGGGTGGCTCATTAGCATATTTCGAAAAAGGATTTTTTTACGAATAATTTGGTACCACACATTGGTGTTTCGAGTCAAATTGTCGTTATGAATTGCATGTTGCAATTTCAAATAAACCATTCGAAAATGTTAAAAGTTGACATATGATATGTCATTCTATTCAGAGTGTCATTTTCTATCGAATAAAGTAGAAATATACCGAGGGTGCCATTTAAAAATAAAAAGTTGTAGTCATTTCCGGTGAAACAGGAAGTGACAGAAGAATACGTCAATCAATCCTAATTTTTGTCGTATATTATTATACCAAATCTCGATTATTTATCTGACAAAAATAAAAAAGTTATAGGGATGAGCCACTTTTGAGACGCACCCGGTATACGAAACTATCCCGATTGCTATTCGGACCATCTCTTGCAAAAAAATATATAATAATAAAAATAAAACTTACAGATAAATTAAGACAGTTCACAGTAAAGCTTAATTTATTATTTAGAATTCTTCATGTTCGACATTTGAAGTGAAACAAGCTTTTTGGCGAATTTGAGGAAATGAGCTAGCTCTAAATGACTTCAGCCTAATGTTGTGCCTGCAGGCTGTTAAATAGAGCGCCTTTTAAGCAATTTTTGCCAGTCATGCAAAGGAGGGTATTCTAAATTATGTCAATTCTAGACCATCACAAAAACCCATTATTCAAGAGTTGCAGAATATCAACATACACAAAATTAATAAGTATATCTAATAATTGTTAATTTCTCTTAGATGACCTTGTACGTAACAGTCTTGAAAAACACGTAGTTTTTTGTACCTAGTCGTTTCGTCATGACAACTAATCGTATGCAAAGAAGCAAAACTGCATGTCTTTTATGTGCATGTGCATTGCACTTTGTTCGACTTCTAACGATTATTTAATCAAACATATTGAACTAAACGATGTAGGTATGGGCTCACGAACGGAAACAGCTAGTTTTCTTAATAATGTCGAAAATTTATTTTGTTTCCCTTTGTTTGCTATTATAACGAAAAAAAATGTTATATATATATATATATATATATATATATATATATATATATATATATATATATATATATATATATATATATATATTACATCAGATATTTTAAACGTAATATTTATACAAGATTTCTATATTTATGTTCAATCTATATGATTAATATAGATTAGATTATATCGTTCAAGGTGCCTAACGGCCTGTTCCAGTGCGATTTTTTCAGATCTATTGAGGTAAAAGTGTAAAAAAAACTTGGAAACTGAACCCTATCCATATAGCTCTTGTCAATGGTCTATCATTGCCTGGCACAAAGATGCCCGGATGTGACACCGATATAAAATATATTCTGTCGTTTGTTCTTCAATTGGCAAAACCCTCACATGCCTTCAGATTACAATACCCAGTTAGTAGACCCACTGCAGCTTTGACTGTCTTTCTGTCACTGCTTATCAAGTCTGTAGTGAATTTTGGAAAATGTGGCCGTGATGAATTTCTCCACCATTGGCTACCCACTGTTTTGTGGCCATTTTCGTGACTGCTTTTGCAACTTTCGCAGAAGGTTTCTGGGCCTATGGATGGCATTCATGAGCCTTGTTGAGCAATTTCAGCTGTTTAATGCTATTAAAAATTATGATAGAACAGTTCTATCTTAAAAAAATAATTTGCTAATGTTGTTCTGCTACATATAAAATTGAGTTACTTTAAAACAATGAAGTAATTAATAGACTTTTGCTATTTTTTTGGCAAAAAAAAGAATCAAACTGGATTGTTATAACGATTTAGAGGAATGAAGTGTCTCGTTAATGAAAAAAAAGGTGTTTGAAAATGTGATTGTAGTGTCCTCGGACATAACGAAAAGAAAAACAATTGTAGAACTCGTCGAACGTATGGACAAATATTTTCCAAGTGGAGCTCTAACTTTTTAATTGGATTTCCCAATTGCGATAACCGATATCTGATGGTAATTAGAAAACTTCGGTCTCTACTACCAACCCACAAACAATTAAATGCGTTTTGATATCCGGCGCACTTGTATGCTTAAAAGTAAAAGAGGTTTAGTCCTTATTTTTCCTCTATTTTCTCGAAATTAATTAAAAGTGAGATCCGGATCCGTTTGCTTCAGAAAAACTAACCAAACTATTCGGAAAGTATGGAAAGTTTATTTAATCTACTGATTTCTTGAGGATAATTAATATTACAGGAAAAAATATTAGAACTGCTTGAAGTCTTACAAGTTTAAATTAAATTATGTTCCGGTTTTTCGTTAATATCACTGCATTTAACTTTTGAAAAGCGGAACTCAAGAAAATCACTAATCAGGACTTTTTTACATTCATTTTCTTTAAAAACTACGCCATTGTCTAAAACTTTGCCTGCCGAGCTTTATTCGGTTTTAAAAATTGTGTTAAACAGATTTGAAAATGTTTAGTGCAGTCATTAGTAACTTTAATATTCTTGAAAAAAATATTAATATTCTAAATAATTATGGAATTTTTTTATAAATCATGATAACAAAGTGTATCTAATAAGTTTGAATTTTGCCTGAGCCATAAAATGCTAATTTAAGAATCCGCGACGAAGTATTTTGAAAATTTCCAGAATCCTTATTGTTTATTTTTCGTTAATTATGTCAGCAAAAAATGATAAAATATATTTTTTTCTTCAATAAAATATCGTATACTATATAATATTTTCTTATTCTATGCCTTTTAATTAGTAAATAGCAGCAATTTTCATGAATATATCTATGGAAAAAAGTCGAAAAAATGGCCATTTTGGCTATTTTTCATATATTTTCAAAGGCTTTATAAAAATAGTAATCTTCATCATAAAATTATGAGAAGTTCAGCCTTTGTAGAAAATTTTATGTAGATTCAGAATATATACAGCTTTAAAGGCTTAGATATCTAGATGATTTTGTGAGAAAATTAATTTATTGGATCCTTTTTTTTTCAGCTATTTTTGATGATGCCTTAAAACTTAAAACGTCTCCTACATCAATTACTGTACTCGTAAGACTGCAATGGCCTCTATTTTCTTATTCTATGCCTTTTAAACAAGAACAGTTTTACCAGGATTGGTGACATGATGAAAATCGACAATTTTCATGGTATGGAAAAAATTCGAAAAATTTCCAATTTTTGTCTTTTTACACATTTCCAAAGACCTTCGAAAAATAGTAATCATAGTCATAAAATTATGAAAATTTCAGAATTTGTAGCAAATTTTATGCAGATTCAGAATATGTACAGCTTTAGAGGTTTAGATATCTAGGTTTTGTGAGAAAATTAATATTTTGGACCCTTTTTTTGGGTTTGAGCTATTTTTGATGATGGTTAAAGCGTCTCCGACATCTATTACTGTTCTCGTAAGACTAGAGTAGTCTATATTTTCTTATTCTACGCCTTCTAATTAGTGAATAACAGCAGTTTCAACAAAATCGGTGACATGACGAAAATCGAAAAATCGAAAATGGAAAAAATCGAAAAAACATTTTTTGGTTAATTATTAAAAGACAAAAAATGATTGTATTGTATAACCGAAAGACAAGTATGCGGTTTTAGATTGACAAGTTGATCACAACCACTAGAGAAGTAGGAGATATTAAAGCGAATCCTTAAAACAGTGTTTGCATAACCGCCTTTTAATGAGTAATTTTCCCCAGGCCGGTTCTTGCCTGTTTCGCTTTATTAGAGCCAAAATTGTAAAATCGATCTTATAATTGGCAATTTAACTTAAACGCATCGAGAGCATCATGTTTGGGCCTTAGCCGACCGCTAGCCGCAACTGCTCCAACTTTTGAGTTATTTCGCGATTTTAGACATTATAACCGCGGAATCTGGATATTCTACTTTCCTCTACATCTCTTCTTCAAATTTCTCGCCTTTCCTATACACAGAAACCTTTATTTACGAGCATTCGCTGTAACGAACATCGGAATTTATTTCTCGAGCAACTTCAATTTTCTTGAACAATTTACAAAGCAATTTTTAAATCACAAAGATACTGGGACCATGACAAAAAAAAATGTGTAAATTAAATACAATCCTAAACTATCAGGAAATAAATAGAAGTTACTAACGAAGGAAAATTCTATGCACGAGCGGCTGTCTTAAGGTTATATATTTGCGATAAATAAAATTTTTCTAGAAGAGGAAACGTCTCATTAAAATTTAGAAGGAAGTCTAGACAACAAGGCAGCGACTCGTGATTCGTAAATTGTTTTCTTCGTAGAAAATTAACTGGATTTTAAATAATAATCATGCAATCTTCCTTATTGTTAAAATTCCCGCACCAAAAAAAATATTACGCCAGTTTCAGGCCAAAATTGGGGATTTCCTTTCTATATGTAACGCGAAATTGAATGGTACCTCATGGTACAACGTTACAATACGTTTGTCTGATATTTTTAAACGATTCTCTTCTTTTTTTAAAGGATTCAAAGATATATTTTAATTTTTGCGCCTTCAAAAGGAGACTGCGTGCGCAACCGGTCAAAATTTGTATTTTACGCGAATTTTACGCTAGAACGCGCAAAGGGCCAATGACAGAGGATACATGAAAACTCTGTTTTTTTTTACTTGTGGAGATTAAAAATCGTTTAGAAACGACTTACCTGTGTTAATTTATGAGAACGAAACGTGAACTAAATTAACTATCACTTGGCGCATGACTCTTCACGTAAACAACGTTAAACGCGAATGTAGAATGTATCTTTATACATTCTCGTTCTCCATTGTCAGAATATCGACCGAATATCAGCTCGGGTAGTTCCGTAGACACGCGATTCTGGTCGAGAACTGACCTATCCACGAGCGCCAATGCCAAGCTGACTTATTTATTTATGATTACTCAGAAACTTTTTATATTTTCCATAAAATTATTGGCCGATCTAATTATCATAATGTCTGAAATCTTACTAAAAATTCTAATTGGCTCACAAGGACGAGATCATTTAAGATACGTCATTATTTAAGTCGCGAAACGAGCGTTTCAGAGTTTGATAAGACAAGTCACGTTAGCTTGGCAACTTTGCCTTTAATTAATGTCCTTGCCACAAACAAAATTCGCTAATGAGTCAAAACTGTAGAGGAGCTGAAGTTAAATGAATAATCTAAAGCCACCTGACAGTTTGAACGTATAATCAAATTATACTTTTCAATATACAGGATGGTCATACTTCATATTGCCAGAAAATTGAACCATTGATTTTGATTGATGAAAATTCAGTAGTATTCAATATAAGCTGAAGATGGATTTAAAATATAATTTGCAATATTAATGGTATACTTTTTTTAATCAACTAGTTCTTAAATGATCTTTTAAAATTATAATTATGTACCTTTAAAAAATTTCGTTATAGCCGAAATAACCCAAATTATGACCCCACTAGCAAGACCTGTGCGTAAAACTGTGCTCGCTACCGTAGTTAAACTCATCTAAAACGTTTTTTTAGCTTGAAAATTAAATTATAATACAAGTTAGATCTTCTGAAGATATCAAAATATTTTCTTTTTTATTTTTTTTAGAATTTCATTAATTATACTTCCCAACACTTTTAGAATAATTATATAAACTTTTTTTTTGTGTATACGCAATTTAAACCAGTGTATTTGTATATGCCGGTTGTTTACGATATTCTCCGATGGTGGCAGCACCGGCGGAAATAGCACCAAGCCTATATAGTTTGTGGATAAATAGTGTGAGCAGTATTTTATGACGACCATCGAACAGACTACTTTTTGGAGAAGAACTATATATTTTATTCTTAATTATTATTGCCACGATTCTATGTTTTTTTTTGTTCAATGATAAGGTGTTATATAATAAGTTTTATTGGCAGTGATTATTGTCTAGAGAGATTCGGCCATAACAGTGGTTGTCTCTTAGTCGATTAGTTCATAATAGTGATGAGCAAATGCAAGACCAAGAACAAGACTCTCTTGGTTTGGGTTTGGCAGTCTGATAGGTAGTCTTGGTGGTGCGTATCGCATTCTTGGTCTTGATCTTGCTGCAAAACTCTTGCAAGTTTTGCGCTTTTTTAATAGGTTTTTACTAGTGACACGATCAAAGTAAGTTAATGCAAATGAAACTTGCATAAAACAATAATCTAGAACTAATAAATAATCGCTGAATAGTTCTTGAGAAATGTTTTTTATTATTTTTAATTTAACAAATTACAGGGGTGAGGGGTACATTATTTTAACTTATAATTAAATTTATTTCGATTTTTTAGTTTTGGATTATTTTAGAATTTGAATTTTAGTAATTTGTATTTGCTCTTGTTACAGGTATGACGCTTTGGCAATTTTTCGGGAGTAGTGATCTAGTGAGAAGATATCTAAAGAAAACAGGTAAGTGTCCTTTTTCTGTAAGAACTTTACGTGATTTTATTGCGGATCAAAGAAAAGCTTTTATATTTACCCTGTATCTAAAAATTATTTTTTGTCTTGTAGATTAGTTAATAATTTCACTCTTTTTGGTATTTTTAAACTAGCCACAAGATTTTTGTTCATATTAGTTATGGGAAATAATCAGGTAAAAAGAAAATAATGAGATTATTTTCAAAAATTTTATTTTGTTTCATATTTTTGAACATTATTATGTAACATATATATAAAACGAAACATTAGGTACGGTAAAGAGTACAGTATTTGGAATATAAGTAGAGTTATATGAACAACGATAAGTATTTGTATAATTAGTGAAACAGAAATACAAGAGCACTCGTCTTGCTTTTTCCAGTTTACTTTTTTTTGGTTTTATACACATAAACAGCTTAAGTTGTGAAAAATATCATTTGTAGTATACATGGTCCTGTATATGAATTTAAATTTCTTATTACCACCTTAATATAAAATCATATAGAATGTATAAAATATATTATATCACTTACAAATATCGGGCACAAAATACACTAAATTAAAATAATTACTTAGAACTAATTTTTAAACACACTGATAGCGAAAAATGCAATTTTCTGCAAGAATAACGTTCTATATTAACACTGATTGCCATGGGCGCCGGAAGAATGAAATTTAGGGGGGCAACGTAAAAATGAATAAAAATTGAAACACATTTTGGTAATTATTGGGAAAACTGGAAATCGTCCGATTTTCACCAAAATTGGTATACACCCTATTTTGAAGTCGTAGACTACGAATCTGAACTTTTTCTTTTCGGCGTCTCTCAGAAAAACGGAAAATAATTCAATATCGAATTTTTCTTAATTTCTCATATTTTTAAGGTTTTCTAGCACATATTTGGTTAGGTATTCAATAATCAATGGTGTTTTTGCTATTTTCTGTCGCTTTTTTAACCAATTCTATGCATAATAGAGGAAAAATTGCTAAAATAAATTTGTAAACAATCTGAAAATGTTAGGTTATAGCTTTGTTCGGGTTCTTGTTATTACCAATTCTGAACCGTCCTAGAACTCTGCAGCGTATGCGCAAATGAAATAATGTCTTCATGTTTCCTTCTGCGCATACGCATCACAGTTCTAGGACGGTTCAGAATCTGTAATAAGAGAAACCCGAAGTAAGCTTATGTGTTTCTGGCATTTAAAGCAATGTTGCTAAACCTAAATTTAGCGTGCTTTTTTCGCTCATTCTGGAATTACGAAAGGGGGTCGCCAGAAGAACGTCTCCTTCCCATAAGTGCTATTTTACCAACGAGATAGACTATTTATAACCCATCGAGTTGCACGAAAGATTTTGATTGTGATTGGTTACAACTTTCATGGAGGGTGTTAATCTTTTGTTGTTATATTATATCAAAAAAAGATTAACCCCTCCGCAAAGAAGTTAAAATCAATGCAATCAAAACTCTTCCGCGTAACTTTGTGGATATAGGTGTATATTTAATTATTGTCGATCTCATAATAGGTAATTTATTTAATATTCCTAATCGCCCGAAAAAATAGAAGATATGGCAACGTTGTAAATTTTCAAATTTCTAGATTAGGTCTAGAATATATTTGTCTCTCTCATTACATAGCAGAGAGAAAGAAGGATATATCAAATGTCAAATTTCCATCTGGTCTCAATTTTCTTTGTTTTGTTAAGAAAGTTTTGTTAAGTGTTTTTCAGTAAAATATTGGACATTTTTCTATCCCCAATCAAATGTGGCTTTTAGATAAACTATAATATAATGAAAATATAGTGAAATTATTACTTTATAGGGCCGAAATAAAGAAAAATTCAATGTTGAAATAATTTTCCGTTTTTCTGAAAAACGGTAAGAGGACGCCAAGAAAAAAATAGATTCGTAATCTACGACCTCAATATAGTGTGTATAATAATTTTGGTGAAAATCGGACGATTTCCAGTTTTCCTAATAATTACCACATTTTTTATTATTTTACAGGTAACACCTAAATATTTCATAATAATGATTATTTTTTTACAGATGGATGTAAGAAGATAGCTTTTATTTTTATTGTTTCAGTGATCCAGGGGAGGGGGCAAATGCCCCCTCTTGCCCCCCCTGTCCGGCGCCCATGCTGATTGCATTTTAAACCATCAGATCATCATACTCTTCATTTCTGTGCATGTAAAACTTCAACAAGGTAACTACCAAAAAAAAATTATCTATAAACATCGGCCTTTTCAGCTTTGTACAAATATAAATACAAAATGAAACTATTCTACTATTGGAGTAACAAAGATATACAACTAAAACTAAAGTCTTATTAAACCAGAATACACAAACCATAATGGAAGAACATGTTTTCTTTTATTACCATACGTTAAATATTAAGTAATATCTAAACATTTGTAGCTGGTTTATTTTTTTTTAATATTGTTATTAATTTCTATCATGAAAGAAATATATTTCTCGTATATCTACATAATATTTATGTATTTCTAATATTTTTCACTCTTTTTGGTATAAAGTTATAATTTGTCTAACACTTTTGCTTTTTTGTGTCTCAGACCTCAATAATGCCAGTATTTCCGCAAAACCATCCTTAAACTAGTTTTGCTCTATACTAGAAAAGTTAAACAATTAAAAAAATATATCTTTGGACGACTATAATGAAAGAGACATTCAACCACGTACCTAAATATATTTTATAGTCAAAATATACTTTTCGGGGAGGGCTTCAACGGTATATTTTTGGACACATAATGGGCATTTATAATAATTAAGGTTTCATTTTGACGCTGGTAGAGATAATAATAGGTTTGAAATTTGTTCAATCTTATTATAAAATCATAATCGTAAAAAGACATCCTGTTTAACAGAAAAGGGTTTGTTTTATATGCTTTTGTATTTATGTCTGTACATTGACGTTTTTTTAATGTGAATTCCCCATGTTTTATGCGAGTTTTTCTATGGCGTTTGTTACATTTTATTACGATATAAAAGACTTACTTTATTGAGCATAAAATATTTTTGAAATATAGAAGAGGCTATAGGCAATGCGGTCTTGTATACTGTTTTCATTAATGAAACCCATTTTGACTTTTTTTGTGTCTACATTTGTAAAAGGTGGTTTACACCCACTTTTTTAAAAGTTTTTACTTTCTTGGTGATTTTTCATATAATTAAAAAAACCTTGGGTGTTTTTTTTAATGGATTCAATATGTATTTTAAAAATGTGCAAAACACAAATCTTAAATCTCACGTTTAAAATACTTACAAAAGTTTTTACTCAAAGATCAAAACGGTTTTATAAGGGCATTTTGTGAAGAAAATATAAAGCGTCTGTGAAAGACATATTAAAATGATATTGAGCTGAATATTTAACGCGATCTATATTTTGTAAAATATTTTTCCGCAACATCACGTACAAATCTATGCGTTTACTTTGATTTTCTCCATTTTCCTCGCTCAAAGTAAAATGGAAAGGAAAAAAATGTCGTGGAAAGGATATATCTCGCTGAAATCATTCTTTTTTTCTCTCGTTCCTAAGCAGAATGTGTCAAAATGAGATAAATGCGTTACAGAAAATTAGAGCTCAAGATAAATACAGAAAGATTTCTGTCTCACGTAAATGGGGTGAAATGATGAGAACTACACATAGACAAAAGAAATAAATATTTTGTTTTGTTTTTTCTTTTCATTTTTTCCACAAAAATATCAAAAAAGAATGATTATTTTTTATATTTCCCGGAAAATTTTAAAAATTTACTTCTTAAAAATTGTATTTTTTGCTTGTTTTCTGTACAAGATGTCCTTTAATTATTAACTTGAAAAAAATCCACCTTTACCTGATGCCTCTTTTTTTAGATTTTTCTTCTTAAGGGGTTACTTTCTTTCTAAGCCGTGTAATAAAACATTTATAAGAATTTCGACTTAAAGGTTACGTTATCTGGACCTTTATAGTTTTAAAATATCTCTTGTCATATTTTCTATAAGGTCGTTTATAAAAAATCTATATTCCGAAATAAATATGCCCATTAAAATAGTTTACGTAACTTTTAGGACATTTAAACATAAACAATATGAGGTCTGTCTCTGTGGTCATTCAGCTGTTCGTAAACATTACCCCCTCCATTGCATTGCTGCTCGTATGGATCCCATATGGGCAATGATCTGTTTTGTAACATTATAGGTGGCATTATATACCTATCTATGTGATGTAAGTCGTGATTCGGTAGTGACTTTCTCGGGGGTGGTAGAGGAGGAGCGTTATAGCTCGTTTTGATAATTTTGGGAAGCTCCTTTTCTATATCTTTCTTTGGCTTCTTCTTTGGCATGAAAAAAAACACCCCAGCTATTATACCTAATATAAAAACAACCGTTAAAGATACTGAGACTATGGCTAACCAGCTCATCGAACAGTCCATCTGACGTTGACTTGCACCAAACAACTTTTTATCGTGCAGTTCTTCAGGGGTTTGACAGGTCACATCGTCAACATCTAACTTCAAGTCGTTAATTCTCTTGGCGACTATTGGCATTGGTAAATTAGGGACTTCCTCCTGGACGCTGCTTATGTTAATTCTCGACTGCTGGTCACTTTCATGTAGAATTTTCCATAACCAACCCATTGAACAGTTACAGTCCAACGGGTTACCTCCCACTCTAAGTTCAGCAAGTTGATCCAAAGGAAAATGACTGGCCACAAGAAATTTAATGGAATTGTATCTCACCGAAACGTATCTTAACTTCGGGTTTCCATGAAACAACCTAGTGGGCAAGCTTTTGATGTTGTAGTTGTAGTCCAGACTTACTTTTTCTAAGTTGATGTTATCAACGAATGCTCTGGCATCGATAAAAGTTAAGAACTCCAGCCTGTTTAGCATTAAGTACTTTAAATGAAATAAACCTCTAAATGCAACTGGCGGTATATACCTAAAAGAATTTCCGTTAAGTTTTAAATTAGTTAACCTGGTTAACTTGGTTAGTTGAGCTGTAGGTAGAACAGTTAAATTGTTATCGCTTAAATCCAAGTGGTCTAGCTTCGGAATATTCTCGAACCCTGTAGGTTGAATCTCGAATATAAGATTCTGAACTAAAATAAGTGTGTGTAGCTCGTGCAGGTTTGGCACCTTGTCGTCTTCAATAACCTCAATCAAATTTCTGGACATCGACAGTATTTTTAACCCTACCAAATCCGATAGACTGCTGGGGATCTCGATGAACGAGTTATCATCTATATATAACGCGGCAAGTTTGGGAGTACTTTTAAAAGTATCGTCTTCGAAGTAATCCAGCTGATTGCCGTTAAGTCTGAGCACTGCTAAATTATGTAACTCCTTGAAAGCATACTGGTTTATCGACTCTAAGTGATTGTTGCTCAGATCTAGTTGCGACAACTCTCTCAGTCCTTCGAAAGTGTCCTTTGCCAACACATCTATGGAGTTGCTGCTTAAATTCAAGAAACTTAAAACTGTCTGAGTTTTAAAGTTGCCGCTACCTACGTTTTTGATTCTATTTTTTGAAACATCCAACGTACGGAGGTTTGCGTAAAAGGTAAAGGCGTAATGCAGCTGAGTGATCTTGTTTCTGGATAGGTCCATAACGTGGAGGTCGGGATTGAGCTGGATGGGTACCACTTCGATTCCAGAACCGGAGCAGTTGGCCCTGAGAACTTCATCTTCACATTTACACACGTTCGGACACACCACACCTCCAGCTGAAGCGATCAGAGACAGCAGACATATTGTTGAAACGAGATATATCCACATTTGTTGGGGTTTTTCATCGCCCATGACAAAGGAACAGCATGGTCATCGAAACCTCTGCAACAAAATAAATATTTTAAAATTGATGTTTTCATTCATACAGGGTCCGGAAATAGTGCGTCGGGCATCTGTAGCTCCTAGAATAAAAAACTTGAGAATTTTGTTTAAGTGCGAACCTAAAGTATGTGCCAGGATGTATTTCAAGAAAATATTTTAACTTCTATAGGGTGGCTCAAAAAAGTGTGAGTGGACCTTGATGATTTTTTTTAAATGGTACACCCTGTATATTATTGCATTTTTGGCTTCCTTTCAGATCACTTTACATAACCTTAAGATATGAATAAATATATTTTTTGATAGTTTCAGAGATATTAAAAAATAAATCAAAAATATATATTTTTCAGCCCTTCTTAAAAAAAAATTATTAAAAATACAAGAACTGTCCTGAAATCAAAACTATATTAGGTATTTACTTTAGATGGTCTGTACTTACTTTGCTATAAATATGAAAATCGTAAATTATACAGAATGTTCAAAATTCTGCGCCAAACTTTCTAAAATGTAAAATAATTTTTCCTCGTTTTTTTAAATGGAACACCCTGTATATTATTTTTTCAATAGACGGAGAATTAAAAAATGAACATTTTTTGTATTTAGAGTATTTCAAAATTTTTAACGGTTTCGTAGATATTTGCGGTTTTATATTTCGTACGGAATTTTCCACAGTAAATTTTTATCACAGCCACCCAATGATTTTTCTCTCGTATTTTACTATAGGAAATAATACTGCGCGTATTTGCGAAACCGTTCAAAATTTTGAAATACTCTAAATACAAAAAATGTTCATTTTTTAACTCTCCATCTAATAAAAAAATAATATACAGGGTGTTCCATTTAAAATAACAAAGAAAAATTATTTTATATTTTAGAAAGTTTGGCGTAGAATATTGAACATCCTGTATGATATACGATTATCATATTTATAACAAACTAAGGACAGACTATCTAAAGTAAATACCTAATATAGTTTTGATTTCAGAACAATTTTTTTAAGAAGGGCTGAAAAATACATATTTTTTATTTATTTTTTAATATCTCTGAAACTATCGAAAAATATATTTATTCATATCTTAGGGTTATGTAAAGTGATCTGAAAGGAAGCCAAAAATGCAATTATATACAGGGTGTTTTATTTAAAAAAATCATCCAGGTCCACTCACACTTTTTTGAGCCACTCTATAGAAGTTAAAATATTTTCCTGAAATACATCCTGGTACATACTTTAGGTTTGCACTTAAACGAAATTCTCAAGTTTTTTATTCTAGGAGCTACAGATGCCTGACGCACTATTGCCAGACCCTGTATATTAATTTTAATTTTATGGCGATTTTATAATTTTTTCGTCAAGTACTGACTCAGAAGTTATGGTTGCGAATTTTACGTTGATGCTGATTGAAAGTTATGGTCGCTATACCGATATTTTTTGCGTGAAACATTTTTACGACTAATATGGAATGCGCAAAAACTATTCCGGGTCGTAAAAGCAAGGCAAGCCTTGGAAATTTGAACAGCAAAAATTTAATGACTACTCCAGGTCGTACATTTCCTTACTTTCTCTTTGCAGTAAATAAATATTTGGACGTGACCAAATTGGACTTTGTGGACTTCCCACTGGATAAGGAACATAAAATGATAAATGTTTAGTTTACCACTTTCATATTTCTCTTCAGGATTAATGTTCGTTTATGTACACTACGCCGGAGTTTCTTGACGGCTTTCTTAGATTAAAATATGAATTCGAAGTGTGTTTATTCTGCCGAAATTAAGACATAACAGGAATTAATATCTATAAATTTACTTTGCTCGAATTTTATTGCATCTCTCAAAATATTATTGCCCTACAAATTTTCCTTAAAGAAAAGCTAAAATCGCTATATAATTTACAGCCTCTTTTAAATTTACATCTCTTTTTGGTATAATTATATCGAAAAACATTTAATAAAAGAACATTTTTCTGAATTTAAAAAGTACATAGAGTCCAATGTCTTACATACCGAAAAATTTATTTGTATTGAGCATAAATATTATATTCAATTTCCTGTATATTATCTGTGATATAATAATATAATTTTCTGTGGCCAATGTAATCGTTATATACAGGGTGGTCCGAATTGTATTCGGGAAACTTCGGCAGTATATTCTATAGATAAAAATAAGTAAAAAAGTTGCTATAATTTTTTGTCCTAAAATGCTTCGTGTCGGAGATACAGGGTGTAGAAGTTTTATTTTTATTTCGATTTTTTTCAAATCATTTCTGAGTTAACGCCGATATTTGGATAAAAAATGGTGTCTGGGTGGTTTTTGACATGAGAAATTCGATTTTGATGTCAGTAACAATATGACTTCTACGTGTAGGGGACGCCACCTACATATTTTTAGCTGTTTTGAATAGTAATAAATTTTTGTCCGTACCGGTATATTTCCTTCATTTTTTACGTAAAATAGGTCTCTTGGCAAAAATCGCTACGAATATTGGTTTTCAAAATATTTGAAATCGAAATAGTCAATTCATGTCATAATTGACAAAAATTAAAATTATTCACATGTTGACTGGATAGTTATTAGTCTGAAATAATAAATTTGAAATGTTTTTCTTGTAAAAAAATTCATGATTAGCTTAAAAAAATAAAAAGTTCCTTGCTTTTTACCAAGAGACACTTTTTACGTAAAAAATTACCAAAATGGATATTTTTTCAGTAGTTTTATACAGGTACGGACGAAAAATTATTACTCTTCAAATTAGTTAAAAAAAACATGTAGGTGGCGCCACCTACAAGTAGAAGTCATATTAACATTGAAATCAAATTTTCATGCCAAATAGCACCCTGATACAAATTTTCCTCCAAATATCGGCATTATTTCAGAAATTATTCGGAAAAAAAAAACGAAATAAAAATGAATTGTATACACACCCTGTATTTCCGCAACAAAAGTATTTTAGGAAAAATATTTTTTAACTTAATATGCTACAAAAAAAATTTCTCTTTTTTGACCTTCGTGCAGAAACGCATTGAATCAATGGTTTTGAGTTCTTTTTCCATTTGCGGTTTTCCTAAATATACTGTCATTAGCAAGAAAATGCCGCATTTAAGCACTTTATCGGGTCATTTCACGAAAGTGTCTCTGTAATACATCCTATTACATAATATGTGTGACATGAATAAAGTCCTATAATAAATTCGCACTAAACAAAGAAAAACATGCGGTTCTTTAATGATATATTGATTTTAAGGAGCTTCCCAAACTGGCTTTTGTATTAGAAGAGCTTTTTGAAACTGGATTTTCTTGTCTATCAGCGTATGCACGCTTTTATGATTTGAAAGGAAGGCAAATATTTTATTTTTATGTATGTAGAAATGCAAACAAGGTTAGATTTCATTCGTGGTGTTTTTTCCCTTCTTTTTACGAAAAGTGCAGGGAAATAAGCTCATATAAAGTAATTTTATTTCTTAATGTATAGTCTGTTTTGAAAAAAGTTTAATAAAATTGTATTATTTCATAAGTTTCACGTGTTGACAGATTCGGAAACTAAATAAAAATTTCTAAACATTTCGCTATTTCTAAAAAGTTCCTTAAGTTGAATTTTGTGTAGTATATTTTCGAGTCCATCCTGATTTCCTGGGAAATTATTCTTCTAGAGCACTTTTTGTACATTTTCGGGAGTATTAGGATAATGTAAGGATAATGCCTTTCTGGGATAAATAAATCTTCACAAATGGGTAAAGTGTCACCAAAGGAATTTCAATTTCCTCATATTCACCCCACTTTTTTATGCACAATGTTACACTTAAATTCAAAAACTGATGGGATTTTTTATTGTTTTATTATAATTTTTCTATTTTTCTTTGTATTTTTACATTCTGTATTCTGTACAAAGAAGGTTCAGATTGTTTTTTTAGAATAATGATAATTATCTTTGAACATTTCTTGGCTTTCTAATATTTTTTTTATAAAGACAATATATTACAGATATATACTAACGGTATTTCCTTTAAGTAAAATGCAGTAGTATTAATCCAGGTTTATCTTGAGCAACCATTCATCAAAATTCATTCAGCCACTCGGCAGATAAGCTACCTCACTCTTTCTAAAAATATGAGTTATGATTTACACGTACTTTATTTCCACCGATGAAAAATCATGACGATTTTTCATTTCTAACCGTTTATATATTCTTTTACGATTCATTTCTTCCTTAACATCTTTCATTGGCCCCTCTCTCCTATATATATGTGAAAATAATTTATTTTTCGCATTTTCTTTTATTGATAAATACGTTTTGGCGCTATTTCTCATCGGTATCAATTTTTGTGTTTTTGCTGAAATTGCGTGTGATATTTGAAGTTTAGATGAATGTAGCGTTAAATTACGTGGCATTTTTCGTTTTACTTTACTTCACCTTTCTTTGACAAATACTTTCTATCAGTTTTTATTTATAGATTATTAAATTCAAACTTCTAACTTCACATATAACTCTAATATTCTAGAATGTTTTACATTTTACATTTTAGATTTTTATAATTTGGAGTATTTTTCAGCCTGTTTGTCAATTTTAATTTTCTTTTTTCAGGGACTGTTATATACTTGAGACGTCAAGCTGCAAAACCCGTCTTATCCATTTTTTAAACAAATAAAAATGGTCTAATGACATACTATATTCATAGTGGACTGCAGCAAAAGTCGCCTATTCCTATATAAAATTCACTATAAATTACGTTACTGCAGCAAAATCGGTTTTATCCACTTATATTTGCTTTTTATGGTCATTATTGTTGCAAATCTCCCTTTATTTTCATAGGCTTTTTACACAAGTATAATATTACCACTGACGACTTATCCATTTCAAATCCTTACCTCATTTTAATAAAATAGCATATCTAAAAAATCAAGTTGGAATGCAAATATCTTGGTGTAGCAAAATCCGCAATATGCATAATACTACAACAAAACTCACCTTATCCGAATTATTTTTGTGTTTTTTTCTTTTTAAAAATTAA